GATGAAGAGGTGTTCTATACATATGAACCGTATGACTGGAATATGTACTTTGAAGGGCCTTCCAGTTATAACGAGGTGGTGCCGGTGTGGTGTTTTCAACCCCTCAAGATGGCATTATCCCCTTGTTCTTCTCCCTCACAAAGATTGGTTCACATAATGAGGTGAAATGTCAAGCACTTGTAAAAGGTCTTGAGATTTCCATTGACCTGAACCGAGGAAGATTAGCCATTTTTAGCGATTTCTGAGTTAGTGATAAGGCAACTTAGAGGGATATATGATGTAAGGAAAGATAGTCTGAAGTCATGTCATGACACGGCTAAGACCTTGATGGCGCGACTCGATGGTTTCTCTCTCGAACATATGCCTCGTATGTTGACCTCAAATGCTGATGCCCTTGCCAAGGTTGGTGCGACCATGTCGGTCTCGTCGAGAGAGCCTACGCCTATATGGGTGGCGGAATGGAGACATATTGAGCTGATTGAAGAGGTTGATGCAGATGACGAGAGGGTCCTCTTTCCAAAGTGCCCACCTTACCCGTTCGAGGCATTGCTCGCTGTTAGGAATGCCATTAAAGCTGAGAAAGATGTCAAGCAAGCCTTAGCCCCTAAGCCCAATAGACAGAGGTGGAATTTCTTGACCCATTGTGCACAGAGGTTGAACAGGTTGAAGATTGGAGGGAGCACATAATCAATTTCATCAAGCATGGTTAGCTTCCAGACGATCCTATTGTGCGCAACACTATACGAAGGATGTCCACAAAGTACACTCTACTCGAAGGCAATGTTCTCTTTCGACACTCTTTTGATGGTATCCTCTTTATATGTATTGACATGAGAGTGTTGGGGCAGGTGCTTGAGTAGGTGCACGTTAGGATTTGTGGACTCCACCAATCCGGTCTTAAGCTCTACAAGCAGATCCAAAGGTTGGGATATTATTGGCTGTCAATAGTCGTGGATTCCTTAGCTTACGCCAAGTGTGTCAAATGCATGCAAACTTCTTCCATCGAGCTCTAGAACCTCTTCACCCTACAATGGCATTGTGACCCTTCTCACATTGGGGCATGGACATTGTGAGACCCATTGATCCGCCTTTAGCTCTGGGACACGTCTTTATTCTGGCTGCCACATACTACTTCTCTAAATGGGCCAAGGCGATCCCTCTCGAGCATGTCTTGGGGATGATGGTAGCTAACTTCGTTCGACATCACATTATCTATCGATTCGGTGTCCCTGACCGGATTAGATCAGATAATGGTCCTCCGTTTCAAAGCCAGTGTATCGATCGCTTAGTCAATCAATTTGGCTATTAATGGAAGTACTCCCCCATGTACAACCCTAGAGCCAATGGCCTTGCCGAAGCCTTCAACAAGATCCTCTGTGACATCTTGCAGAAATCAGTCTAAAAAACGAAGAAAAACTAATATGAGAAGCTTCATGAAGTCTTGTGGGCTTACCACATCACTACGTGGAATGTTATCGACTCTACTCCCCACTCCCTGGTTTATGGGAGTGAAGCTGTCCTACCCCTTGAAGTTCAACTCCCTCACTTCACATCGCCATACACTAAGGCATAATCGAAGACGAGCGAATCAAGCTTCGCTATCAAGAGTTGGATGCACTTGACGAGAAGAGGTTTGAAGCCAAGCAAAGCCTAAAAATCCATTGGGGAAGAATGAGACGAGCTTTCGACAAGACAGTAAAAGTACACTCATTTACCTGTGGTAAATTGGTCTTAGCTGTGTGAAAACCCATCATCATGCATGGGCGACACAAAGGCAAGTTTGAACCACAATGGGAAGGGCCATTTGTGGTTAAGAAAGCCTTCCCCAATGGAGCCTATGTATTGGCTCGTCCTGACAGAGAGGAAGCCCTGCCTCCCATCAACGGCGCTACCTAAAGAAGTATTACCTATAACTTACGGTCTCGGAGGCACGACCTTAAACATACTCTCAGGTCTTGGTTTATGACCTTAAAATGCACTACATTATGGTTTCGAAGGTACGACCTTAAACATGCCCTTAGGTCTTGGTGTACGACCTTAAAATGCACTACCATAATGGTCTCGGAGGCACGACCTTAAACATGCCCTCAGGTCTTGGTGTATGACCTTAAAACGCAATACCATTACAGTCTCGGAGGCACGACCTTAAACATGCCCTCAGGTCTTGGTGTATGACCTTAAAACATACTACCATTACAGTCTCGGAGGCACGACCTTAAACATGCCCTCAAGTCTCGGTGTACGACCTTTGAACACACTACCATTACGGTCTCGGAGGCACGACCTTAAATATGCCCTCAGGTCTTGGTGTATGACCTTAAAACACACTACCATTATGGTCTTAGAGGCACGACCTTAAAATATGCCCTCAGGTCTTGGTGTACACCCTAAAACACAGTATTGTTACGGTCCCGATGGCATGGCCCTATAGGTGCCTCCTCAAAAGACGGACATGAGGAAAACCCGAAAAGAGCATCATGGGTAAAAAGGTCAAAAGAAAATAAAAAATAAAAAAAAAAATGATGGGGCATGGTAGCACCATCCACTATCGTGAGTAAAATATGTCAAAAATAAAATCGGGTGCGGTGAAAACCCGAAAGGGCAGCGTGAGTAAAAATGAGAAAATGGAAGATATGGTGTAAAAACCATCGGCAAAAGTGCCACAAAAAAAGTCTCACGGGGTTTTGCGAAAACCAAAAATGGTGCACACCTTAAGGGCTTGAATGAAAAGCCAAAAGGGGCATTTAAGTCAAGAACATGCGAGAAGCGAACGTGTCCATGAGAGAGGCTCTCGATGGCTCACCACTCTCAAAGAGACAACGACAAAGGGCAAATATATGCAAACCAAAAATGAGAAAGGTGGATTAAAATGTAAGTAAGAAGTGGTATTTCATTCCATGTATTTTGTCAAGTCTACATACAAGCAAGGGTAAGATGCAGTAAAGAGGGGTGGAAAGAACAACGCCCTTAGAAACGATCAACGACCTCACTGATCTTCGCCCTCGCCACCTCAAAACGACCAGTAGCCTTCTGTACATGTTCCCTAAGGTCGGTCACTGCCTGGGGAATCTATGCCGCGAAAGTGGTTTCTGCCTCGATGGTGCAATTGAGTCCGGTTAGCTCGTCAGATAGAACTTGGCTCTCTGCTCTCCACCAGTTCACCTCTTTGTCCAGCTCGCCATACTCATTGGTCGTCATCAATATCTCCGCCTTCAAAGCCCTCATCTTGGTCAAGTGAGATGTCCCTTGCTTATTGAAGTTGGACTTTTGAGCAATCAGAGCACTCTTCCTTTGGATGCATGCATCTACTTGCCCGCGATGCTGCGCTAATGAAGCCTCCATTGGGGCCAGTTGAGCTCCCTATAGCTCATTCACTTCCAACTCTTCCCTCAAGGCCTCTAATCGCCAACTCTCCAACTCACACAAAAAACTGTCGAAGCAAGTGAAAATTTCCTTCTCACAGCTAAAAGTGCTCAAGGCGGCTGCATAGCCACGAAGGTTGGCAATCTCAGGACCGAGCTCCACAAGGGGCCACCACTTCAATGATTGGGCACCCGAGTGCAGCATGTCAATGACCATGGCCGACTTCGCATTAGAAGGAAGAACGACCATCGATGAGCTAGGGGCTAAAGTCACTTCGGTCAGAGGAACGACGATGAGAGCAACAACCATCTCTGAGGGCTCATCGTCAAGGCCCACACTCAAATACCCCTCAGGCTCTGAGCGGAATTCAACGTCTGAAGCCAAGAAGACCAGGCTTTCAGCTACATCAATGGTGTCAAAGCGAGAAGCAACCAAGGGCTGCCCGAGTGTTGCATTGACGCCGAGGCCCTCCCCAGGAGTGCCATCCAACAATTATTTTTAGTAGGACGTGGTTTCTATGAGTCCATATAGAACTGAGTCCCTCTTAAAAATATATTTTCGAGATAGATTTTTTGACCTAATTTTGAAGGACATGCAATCTCTAACATAAAGATTATGAATATGAAAGATAAATAAATTTTGAAAATTAAAAATAATAATTCTATTAAGAAAACATTTGGACTGTTAGTTTCAATTATCTTTAGATGGACCGCCTATTTGCATCCATCTTTAAGATGGATGCTTATATCTCGGGGACCAGAAATATAGAAATGCGGTCCCCACCGCATGTAACAATTTTTCTTTAGAAAAGAGATTGTATATTATGAGGCCATTTACTTTTAGTTTAAGGCGGCCACAAACATTTTTAGTATGTCATAACATTTGAGGAAATGTATTTTGGACTTTGTGGCCAATCAATGATGCATTCTTAACCGCCTTATTTCACAATGATTAATAATAATTGTGACCTCCTTGTATTTAAAGTAAGTAGTATCGTTGTATAGTTTTTTTCCTAAAAGTTACTCCCGCAAAGGGTTTAGTTATGAAAGTCAATGTACAGTGTGATCTCATCTTGTTTCACAATGGCTAATAATGATTATGATCTCATTGTATTAAAAATAAGTGGTATCAATATACAGTGGTCTTCCTAAATATTACCACCGCAAACGGTTTAGCGATGAAAGTGAATGTGCAATGTGATCCCGCGGGAGTATGAAGAATATTTTTTTTGCTACTTTATAGGGGCGATTATAGGGCAGGGGAAACTATAAATGTGAGAGCGACGGTTGCCTTCATCAAATTCTCCCTCCAATTCTCATTACAAAGGCGTGTGTTGGAGCTAAGCAGGTAAAGCTCTTCTCTATTTATGGTTATTCTCTCTCTCTCTAGAGTGTAGCTCTTGTTTACAGAAGAGTTTCAGTTTTGGAACCTTGCATATCGTGATTGTCTATCTCTCTAGGTTCGTTGAGTTAGTGGAACTTTCGCTGCTTGTTTTGCTTCCATTGATGAAGTTTTCTAGGGTTTTTAGGTTCTCATTTCTCGCTCTTTAGTGGTGTTCGCAATATATACAAGTGCACAACTATTTCTTCACCGAAATAATGGATTATAATTAGTTTATCTGATTTTTCCTTTTCTGCTTCTCTCTCTATTGGATTAGTTGTAGGTGTTTTCATTATATTCATGTTATACTTTATTTCTGCTCCTCTCACTATTGGATTAGTTGTGTGTATTTTCATTTTATTCATGTTATACTTTATCTATTTTTTGATCTGCTCATATCTTCTTTTGCTTGTTTCATTTGTTTACATGGTTTTTCATCAATGAAATGCATTGTTCATTTTCTTTTTACTTAAAAGTAATTGTTTCCTGTTCACATTTTCTTTCTGCTTCTTCATCGTCGGCGTTTTGTTCCATTTCTATATTTCTGACTTTTTTTTATGGGTTTTCCATAAATTTTTTCACCATGGAACACCATTTTGTCTTTTACTTTTTCATTCCAGTGCTTGTTGTTATGCTGTGTGAGTTGTTTTGGATTTTTTTTTGGGTAAATCAGTGAGGGAGAAGGCCCTCTACCCCTTTTTCATTACTAAAAAAAGTAGAAAAAATTACATCGTACTATCTTACAACCCTACAATAAGGTAATTGCGACATCATGAAGTAGAAGAAGGTTAAGAAAATCTGGAGGCCTAGAGTGCCAAATGGTGACCTCCGCAAAAATTGTATCCTTTTTGGCAAGAGCATCAACCACCATATTAGCCTCACGGTAAACATGGCAAATGGACCATGAATGATTCTCAAGTCTAGAGTTGCAATTAGCATCTATGATATGAAGAGCCCATGGAGCTTTACACCTGCCCTGTATGACCTGAACAAGTAAAGAAGAATCACTCTCAATTTGCAGGGGGAAGCATTCCATTTGAATGGCTAAATCAACACCCTCTTGTAAACCTTGAAATTCTGCATAATTATTGGAAGCAATTCCAAGAGGAACAGAGAAAGCAGCAACGAAAGATCCATCATCCCGTCTCAAGACACCCCCACAACCAGCTTGACTTGGATTCTGAATAGAAGACCCATCAATATTTAGCTTAAAATGTTGCGATTGTGGAAAAACCCATGCCCTTATTATGGGTAACTTGATTCTCTGTTGCCGCCACGTAAGTCGTAAATTTTCAATAATTGCCTTTTTTGAGATGTGGTAAGTCCATGCTTTAGCATTTGCCAAATCATGAACATGGTAGGTGATCCCTAGAGTCAGCTTCGCAAGAGTGAGTGTCCTTCCTTGAAACATACGGTGGTTCCACTCCTCTCAAATCATCCATATAGTTGTGAAGAAGAGAGAATGCCAAATGTTGATAATACCATCAGACCTGAATCTGAATGCTAACCATTTACGCAGTGTAGCTGCAATAGAACAACTTGTAATAAAGTGTTTTCCACATTGCCATGCTATCGACCTCCAAATCCCCTACGAGAAAACACATTCAAGCAAAATATGACAAATATTGTCATCATTAAGATGACAAAAAGGGCACATAGAAGCAAGGATGATTCCCCTTCGCTGCATGAGAGAAGATGTAGGAAGACGATGATGAATGCTCAACCACGAGAACCATTTAGCCCTTGGATGAAACTTAGAAGACCATAGTGCCCTAAAGATTGGTTGAGAAGAGCCCTTAGGACGGATGAAATTCCATGCCTCTTTAATAGAAAACATTCCATTTGCAGAGTGAATCCATATCAAAAGATTAGGTTGGGGTTTTAGGGGGATTGGGGCAACCTCTACTTCCTTCCAAATTCTGATCCATTGATTCTAGGTTCTAAGTGCTTGTCTTGGTGCAGGGGTAGGGAAACACCAGGATTGTGGAGAACCATTTAAGTAGTCTACAACCCTAGGCTTGGCAAAACTTCCCAGGTCGTTACGAATACTATAGCCATATTCTAAAATGGACTTTTCTGATAACCATGGATCTGTCAAAAAATTAATTGTCCTTTCATCCCCAATAATCCATCGAACATTGTGGCGCAAGAGAGATAACCCCATTTGAATGCCCTTTCATGCATAGGAGCAGGACTTCCTATCAACTTCCTAGATTGAACAATTTCTGAAGTACCTATGCCTAAAGAAGCGAGCTATAAGAGAAAACGGCTTAGTCAGAATCCTCCATGCCAATTTCATCATGCATGCATTATTGAACTCAATAATATCACTAATTTCAAGTCCCCCCTCTTCCATTGGCAAACATACATTTTTCCACTTTACCAGGTGAACCCCCTTCTTATGAGCTATACCAGCCCATAGAAAATTTCTTTGAAGCTGCTCTAACATATTGCATAAGAGAGGGATAAAGCCTGCCATGTTCCTATCTTACAAATGAATTTCCCCACGAGATTCTGACAATTATGGTGCTTTAGGTTACCATGGAACAGAGGCATTCCCAAGTATCTTACTGGAAGGGAACCCTCACCAATTCCTTCAAGATCAAATGTTTTGCATTCATGGAAATTCCAAAAAAGAAAGCCTTACTTTTAGTTACATTCAATTTTTGCCGTGTGGTATTTCCAAACATACATAGGATATAATTTATCTATTTTGCAGCAGCTAAAGAAGCTTCATAGAAAATAACTGCATCATCGGCATAAAATATATGCAATACCCCATAGTCACAACCGGAAGGAAAAGCCATAGGAAGAGTACTTTGTAGTACTGCATGATCCAACTGCGTACTCATGAAATCCATTACCAACAAAACAGATACGGAGATTGAGGGTCCCCCAGCTGTAAGCCTCTTTTTCTTTTGAAATATCCCATTGGGGAACCATTATGAAGCACCGAGAATGAAGTAGTAATACAATGATGAATCCAAGAAACAAAAAGATATGGGAAACCCAAAGCACGCAACCTTGCAAGAACAAAATCCCAAAAAACCCAATCAAAGGTACTACTTAGGTTCAATTGCAAACACATCTTACGATTGATTGAGTATTTATGACATAGTGAAACAAGTTCATTAGCCATCAATATGTTATCTGTGATCCCCCTTAAAAAAAGTAGCTTGTTTGGAATCGATCAGAGTATGTAACACCTCCCTTAATCTATTTGAAATAAGTTTGCTAATGATTTTGTAAAGAACATTACACAAACCAATTGGTCTGAAGTCCTTCATAAGACAAGGGGAATTGATTTTTGGGATAAGGCAAATGAATGTGGAATTTATCTGCTTAAGGAATTTACCTTCGTTGAAAAAGTCATGCCATGCCAAAAACAAATCACATCCCAACTGAACTTATAAAATTCCACCGTAAAACCATCTGGGCCAGACGCACTCTCACTCTTCATTCCCCAAATACAGGCTTTTACTTCCGCTATAGACACCGCCTTAATAATGTGAGTTGTTTTGGATATTATTTCTTCTCAATATTTCGAAAGGTGTTTCAAAACAACTATGGTATTTCTCCCTTCTTTTGGCCATTTTTCTAAGTTAAAGGTATTATAACTATTCGGAAGATTTTACTCCCATATTGCCTTGAGACATGACACACTATGGACATGCAAGTGGGAAAGTTCCTCAGCTGATAGGGCTTAAAGGAGAGGGACTTCTGGGCTTTTGGTTGCTTTCAATTTGTGTGTACATGTGTGCACGTGTGACTGGTCCAGTTGAACCAGGCTGTGACTAATGTTTGGGTGGAGGCCAAAGTCCTTTTTTTGGCTAGCCAAACCTTTTCACTGTGGTTAAGCCGTTGGTCCAACCATATAGCATAGTTTAGTAGGAAGTTTGACTTGTCATTGCGTTTAATCCCTCAATGCTCTAGTCTTTGTGCACAAATGCCTTGCCACATGTCATGCTTTTTCCCGTGTATTATCACATTTTCTCCGGATATCCTTTAAGATTTCAATAAGCTAATATAATCTCACATGCAGATAGCAGATAACCTCTTTATAAAAGACCACATTTGAAGCTGAGAATCATTTACACTCTTTTACTGACAACTTCTTAACACTTTTGACTGAGAAAAATGTCTTATGACTGTGGTGAACTGCAAACGTGCATTTTCTTCTTATGACTGTGGTGAACTGCAAACGTGCATTTTCTTCTTAATTTCTTCATCAAGTTTGTTCGCTTTTATATCTAATTAAAACCAAAACCAAGCCAAGTGAGTTTTGAAGGCAAACTCAATATGAAGAGTGTGCTTTTTGAGGGTGTCACTTGGGCATGAAACTTAGAGAAAATTTCACAGTGCTTCAATGGGATTTAGTTGTATCCCAGGGTTATACTTGTGACGACTTGATTTCATCTAGGGATTTCCAAGTCGGAGCTGTTTAATGCCTCAAAGACAATGAGAGCATCTCCTGCCTTTAGTTTTGTTGTTGAAGAAAATGGTTGATTCTGTGTTATAGAAGTTATGAGTTTTCGCCTTCGTTGAAATTTAGTGATCCTTTTGGAAAGTTTCAGCATTTGGCTTTATATCAAACCTAATGTTCACTCTTACAGAGAGGTGTGAGCTTTGTTCTCCAGATCTATGTGGTCTTCTTCTCTGAACTTAGCTCGGTGCTAACGGTTTCACTTTGATTGGAGTTAGGAGTTTCTTATTTTGACCCTGGATGAGGAAATAAAGTAACTTAGACAGCGGTTATGGTATATTGTAAGTGTTTAAGAAACAGCCCAGGCATTTATAGTGAAATTTCTTAAGATTTGGCTTTTGAGGACCCAAAAACCAACATCTGTGTTATGCTCATATTTTATTTGATGTGTTTTTAGTGTTGTTGTTTTCTCTTTGTTCTTCTCTGTCTCGAGTTCTTCTTCTCTTTGCTTTTCTTCATCATTGTTCTTTTCTATTCAAAGCAT